CTCCCGGGCCAGGTGCGCGAGGCGCCAGGCCAGGCTGCAGCCGCCCTCGGGGCTCTCCGGGTCTGCGGCCGCTGCGGCCAGCGCGCGATCTTGAAGGGCCCTTTTGCAGCGGAGGGCGCGCACTGTGAAGGCCAGGTCGGCCGGCAGCCAGCGCAGCTGAGGCCAGAGGTCCAACTTCAGCAGCAGTGGCAGCAGCAAGAGTAGGGGCAGCAGCAGCAGGAGGGCCGCCATGGTGCCCTCTTTCTCTGGTCTGCCCCTGCAGCTCGCATACACTCCGGGTGGTCCCTCCTGAAACACTGATCTCCCTCGGGCTCCAAGAACCTCAGGGAGTGTGGCGCGCGTGCGCTGGCACCCGCCCTTCCTACCCAGCTTCTGCGGTGTGGCGCGGGAGCCAGGAGTGGGGGGCGGCTCGGCCCTCCCTATAGCCCAGGCCCCGCCCTAGGCGCACTCGCTCTGGAATTTGACTGCTGGTGGCCAGCAGCAGCCTGTTGGTCTGAAGTGGTACCTACCCTCAACCCCAGAGATGGGCATTTTCAGGGCCATTTAAGCTACTGGCTGGCTGAAGGAGGCCTGGTTCAGGACCCAGGGCGCGTCTGTCATTCTTTCCCTTGGTGGTTATCACCCATGATGGGATGGTACCATTGCTTTCTTTCCAAGGAGACTAAATAGTTTGGACCCCGGCCCGTTCAGTTCTGCAAGCCCAGGCAAGACGTTCAGCTACCAGCAGCAGTAGCAACCCCAGGGAATGGGTGGGGGCCTGAGAGTTAAGTAGGGGAAAGGTGGAGGACAGACTGCCAGGGTTTTGGAAGGAGGCCCTTCATTTTAGCCAAGGATACAATAATTGGGACCAGCCAGCAAATACTTCCCATCCAGGTTTTAATGGGTGCAGTGGAAACTGGGGATGGGAGGAGGGGGAAAGAGGCCTCTGGTGGTTAAGAGTCTAAAGTAGTGGCTTTAAAGGTGCATGGACGCCCTGGAGTGTAGGCTGAATCAAGGGAAGCATATGCACTAAACCATCTGCACACCCCTCCTCAGCAAGGCATCCAATGAACAGGGCACCGGAAGCACGGCCTGCCTGGGATTCTTCTCTGCTACTACACGGTGACATCAATGGTCAGACCAGGAGGAGGGTCTTCTATCCCTGGTATAAGAACTTTGGTCCTCTCTCCTCCAAAACTCAGCGTGGAGCATCCTTCCCTGCCTGCTTGGAAAGCACACACTTAACAAAGCGAAGGACAAATACTAGCTTTTGGACAATCTGGAATGAAATGTGTGGAGTGCGTGCATGTTTGCATGTGAGCGCATGTGTATTCATGGGTGGGGAGGACCAGGATCCTCCCAGAATTCTCTCCATCTCACTCAATTAACTCAGTCCGCTGAACCCCGGGCTCACCAATACTGAGTGTAGCTGGCTAGCCACCTTACTGCCCTCTGAGCTCTGGGATCGCAGGCAGGCTACCACACCCACCTAACATTGACATGGGTTCTGGGGCTAGAACTCTGGTCCTCACGCTTGTATGCCAAGTGTGGATCTACTGAACCATCTCCCCTGCACCCTCCAAAAGATGAAGTTCCTGCGAAGCAATAGGCAAGGCCATCCTGCGGGGAGTTGGTGCCAGCATCAGCTTCTGAGTGGAAAGGTCAGATGCCTGACTCACACTTTTAGTGGAAGGGCAGCCAAGTCCCTCCTGTAGACGTTGTGTTGGGGGAGGGGAAGGCACAAGTAGAGACATCAAATTAAACAGAGGCACCCATCCACAGATCCACAGGTGAACACAGATAACGCAGGCTCAAAAGATGCTCTGGCTTGCTTCATTATCACTTAAAAACAATTTTAAAACTCGATTATCTTTGCCAAAAGAAAAAGCAAAAACAGAACCACAGAAATCAGGCCATTTGACAGTTCTGAGGAACTTGCCTCTGGGACTCCCCTGGGCTCTGGCTCAGCTTGAAGTGCCAATGCTGGGCCAACCCAAGCATCCCAGGTGTAGCAAGAGGCTCTCACGCTGTCATCAGGTTCTTTCCTGATGGCTGCGGCATCTATCCAGATGGGCACTGCCCACGTCACACTGGCGTACAGACCACCGTCCACAGACTACAAGTCTGTTCAGAACAAATGCAGACTGAAGGGAAGCAGGACGCCATTCACGCGGCACTTCTGTCAGCCTAGCTTCTCTGTCCAGCAGCCTCTTGGTTGCTCCCTTCTCTGTCCAAATGGCTCTTTGGAGACTGGGGGAGGAGCCAAAGGCTAAGGACTTCCGCCATGATCTGGTTTTGCAGCCTCCGGCTGCTGTGAGAACCTACCAGTGGAGCAGCAGTGAAGAGGGATGAAAAGAGCTGGAGGCCCGAGAGGAGGAAGGGTGGGGCTGCGGGGAAGTTTCTCAGGCTGGGCCACAGGAAGCAGCTCGATCCTCCCCCAAGTGAGGGGGCTAGGAAGGGTATACCCTTGCATCTCTCAGGCTGGGGCGGGGTGGGAACACCAGGCCTCAGTCACTGTCAGAACCCACGGCAGAGGAACCTTTTCGTTTCCGTTTGGTGGGCTTGGGCTTCGTATCTTCTTCCTCCTGGAAGAAATGAGGGACAGAAGGCGATTACTGCCTGGGCAGTGGCTGGCCACACCTCTCTTGTGCCCATCACCCCCCTCCTCCTGCACACTGGCTGTGGGTCTCACCGAGGCGCTGCTGGAACCTGACTCTTCTTCAGCGTTGGGGGGCTGCGCGGCATTCTTTCGACTTCGAGGGCTGGACAGAGCCGCCTTCCTCCGGCTCTTGGGTGGCTTAGTGGAAGAGTCCTCGTATTCCTCTGCCAGGGAGAAGAGGTCGCTGAACCTAAGAGGAACATGCTTCCTGAGATGAGCATCCTACTTCAGGCCCCTCACCATGTTCTCAGCACCAAACCTAGTCTGTTTCTCAACCCCAAGGTCTTGTTGACCATTAGGTTTATGACCCCAGGAGACCTCTTCTCCCCACTACTTTCCAAGGCCCAAGTAGAAGGAACCTCACTTCATCTTGTGGGCTTCATCACAGCTCGCCTGGACATGCTGCAGCGCCTGCAGGATGGGTGTCTGGCTAAAAACTGCAGAAGGGAGAGAAGGGAAACTCAGTTAATATGTCAGGAAGCTTACCACACAGCACCAAAAGCTTTTCTTCTGCAGGTTTGAACAGTGGTCTTGGTATCTCATCCCTGTTCCCTGACTGGCTAGAAGGGATTTGAACCAGGACAGCACCGCCCCCAAAATAGCCAAAGAGAAAGGGAGAAAGGGAGCAGGAAGGGAGGCAGCATACAGTTCTGCTTGGTGTTGGCTAGGTTGAGTCTTAGGTTGTCCAGGTGCTCCAGGATCTGTTCCAGGGTCAGCTGGGCCAGCTTGCTGCTAGAGCTCCTGAGGCTGTTTGGGGAGGCAGAGAATCAAATACTCCCCACTTCACTGGGCTAGGGAGGGCTTGGGGGTGTGGTCCTGTATTAGATGTCACCCGCACACCTTTGCCTCTTGCGGGGAAGGCTGTTGTTCTTGATGAGCAGGGCCTTGATGTGCTCCGCCAGCAGCTCGTCGTGCCTCATGCACCAGTGCCTCAGGATGCTGGTGGTGAACTGGTCGTCGGGGTGGCAGGGCCTGCTCAGCACCATCTTCACCATCTCCTCACTGGGCCTATGAAGGAGAGCAACCTCAACAATGGCTACCTCTCTCTCCAAACCCCGGCCTCCTTGGCCCTGTGGCTTCCTACTCTCACATCCCTCTCCCCCTTCTCTCTGGGCCAAGGAATTCCTGGTATCATTCTCTGAGAAGCTGGATGAGAAGTGAGACTGCTCCACTTCTGTGGTAGGAGACACTGAGTATGCTGAGAATGAGGCCTGACTTTCCCCAGAGCAGATGGGAGAAGCCCCAAGAAGCAAAGGGCACAACACCCTTACTATGCCCTGTAGCCCCGTTCTGCGATAGCCTGAGGTCAGCTTAGACCTCAGCATCCAGCCTGAGGTCACCACAGGGCCTTCCCTAACTTTCCACTTTCTCTAGGGTCTCAGGCAAGACAAGATTAAGACAAGAAGGTTGTAATGCCCAGACAGGGGCAGAAGAATCAACAGCTGAGTGACCTCTGGCCACAAAATTACAAGAACCCCGTCTCAAAAACAAACCAAAACAAAAACAGACAAAAGAGGGGCTGGAGAGATGGCTCAGTGGTTAAGAGTACTGACTACTCTTCCAGAGGACCCGGGTTCAATTCCCAGCACCCACATGGCAGCTCACAACTGTCTGAAGATCCAGTCGCAGGGGGTCTGACACCTTCACACCAATGCACATAAAATAAAGTTAAATAAACCATAAAAATATTAAAAAAAAAAACCAGACAAAAGAAAAAACATAGGAAAAGGCACTTGACTGTTGCCTCATTTGTCCCAGGAGCTGCCAGTGGTGCAGCTAGGATGGCACGGAGGCCTTCTGCCTCCACCACTTCACCTCTGCCTCCACCACTACACCTCTGTCAAGCAATGCGGTGGCTCCAGCTGACTCCTGCTAGGGTGATGAGGGGGGTGGTGGTCCCTTGCCCCTGATCTTTCCCTTTTAATGGACCTGTGCCAGTCTGGGGAGTGTAGGGAAGAAAACAGGTGTGTCCAGTCCCGACCTCCCACCTCTGAGGGCAGCACAGGGAGCTGCTTATTTCTAAATCATACAAAGGAGGGCAGGGACAGGCAGACGGCCATGGCAGGAAAGCGGGACCAAAGGTGCAAAGCCTGTGCCTCAGTATTTCTTGGAATGTTGGGGCCTGGAGCCACCTGGTTTGGAACTCACTTCTCTCTTCGCAGCTGAAGCAGGAGACAGGACAAGGCCTCTGGGTGCTCTGTGGGGAGGAGAGGTTGTTCAGGAGTTAACACAAGCAGTGAGTACCTCTCCTACCCCAGCCAACCACCAGGACAGAAGACAGCCTTGTTCCAGGAGCCAGGAAGAACCAGTGCCTTGCTCACCAGTCTGGAGCTGCTGGGGCCTGGTGCCCTGCTCAGAGAAGGCTCACCTTCCTTTAGCCTGTGGCCCGGTCCTACTCACCCTTGTATTTGAGGTGCTGCAGGATGGGGATAATGGTCTCCAAGGGGATGTTATGGGCCAGGAAGAGCTGCCAGGCACAGTACTGCTCAAAGGTTTCCCAGTCTAGGCTCTGAACTGGAAGAGACGGAAGAAACTCCTGTCTGCCTGCTGTCTCTCTCATACATACACATGGTTGATACACACACTAGCAGAACCCCAACAGATGGAGCTAAAATCTAGATCCTTTCTCTTCCCAGACAACACTGACTACTACCATCTTCGAGGACTGCCATATTCCCTGCAACCCAAGGGCTAGATAGGTGAGGGTAAGTACCCTTGATGCTACAGAGCAAGACACAAAGACCAGCAGACATGGTGTTCTTACCTTTCAATTTTCTATGCCCAGAACAACTTTTCTGTCACGGTTAAATAACTGAGGCCCCTTTCCTCTCCCAGGTACCTGGAAGACCTGGTTACTTACTGAGTATGTTGAGGACTGAGTCCTTTCGAAACATGACCAGGTTCCCCATCATCACGTGGCACACCAGCTCCTGGAGCTATGGAAAAGAAAGCATCAGACCCATCCGCTCTACAAAAGGCCAGAGGCCAGGAGGGTAAGGCACGACACATGATTTGGAAGGGTAAACGGGCAGGCTACAACAGCGACAGGCTTGTAGGGGAACAATAGGCCTGTTATGGAAAAATTCCCCACACCCTGATCTAAAGGAAAGGAATCACCTCTGTCTGGCCTGAAGTGAGAAGACCCTGGAGGCTGGGCTCTGACCTAGTGTGGGTAGGGAAAGACATAAGAAGGGTTCTCAGTGCCAAGTCGCTCTGAGTGGACATGAGCAGAAATGAAACCCAGGACAGCCAGGGATACACAGAGAAACCCTGTCTCAAAAAACTGGGGCGGGGGAGAGGGCAGTGCACAGAAGTTACAATCTCTAGGATTCCTGTGCATGGAGAAGGTCAAGGAGAAATGGCCCAAACATTTTTATTTTGAGCCAAAGAGAAGGCCAGGCAAGAGCAAAACACATATGTATGAACGTGTACACATGCATACTCTTGCCCACCCTCGGCTTTCTCTGTGCAAACAGGAACTTCCAGAGAACATGGAGAAATATCAGGGCGGATGGGCTTGACGCCAGCTTCTTTCTTGGGCTTTGCTTTCCCTTCCTAGCCCTAATGGCCTGAAGGGCACCCACATGCAGCGGGAGGCAGACTGCCTGAGGGGTGTGGGCTCTCGTGTACAGGCTTAGAGAACACAGACCCTGGCTCCGCCAGCCCTGCTCTCCAGGTCTCGCTGGAGATGCCAAAGCCCAGTGCTCACCTGTGCAGAGTCAATAACAGCCACAATCATGTTCAGCAGCTCCCCACTCCTCAAGGTCTCATCTGGAAACTAGACAGAGAAGGAAGGAAAGAAAGGTGATTTGGGCAGGAAGGTGGGCTGGACCTTGGGTTGCACCTAGCCTGCCCCACCCCTTATCACAGACTAGGGTTCTGGTCCAGCACAGAAGCAAACGGCTACAAATCTGGAATCTGAGCCTTATTTCAGTATCTGTAAAAAAAGGAATGGGGGACTGGGAGATGAAGCCAAAGCTAACGGGGACAGGACACGATGGCCAGGTCTGTGGGGAGTGTAAC